TTAGTAGTTCATTTTGAAAAAAAACTAAACACGAAAAAACAATTATAAAGTTTTTCAAGATCTTAAAATTTTAGAATTTTCAATTCAGAAAACCTATTTTAGATATTTATTGTAAAGGAGAGAGTGTCATAATTCTAATGGAAGTGTGTTGTAAACTATTTATACAATTTAATAGAAAACTACATTTTTGACCCTAAACAGTGCAATAATAACTTAGACAGGAGAAGAACAAGGAATAGTGAATTGATATTAGAATATATTGGGGAACATAGTGTTGTATTAATGACAACATAGTATTGACACCTGAGAGTTTTGATTGTTAATGATTGGTAAACAAATATTTTTTTCTAATTTAACAACATTTTGCATAATTTTAAACATTTGTATTAGATCTCCCCTTTTTCTCCTTTCTACTAATGTAGTAATATTTAATGCTTTAAGTCTTTTTTCATAAGAATTGATAAGTCCAGTTTGGTAATTTGAGCTGTTTTTATTCTATATGCATACATACATATTGCCACAATCAGATTTTAGAAAGAGAGACTAGAACTGCAAACTCTAATAATAGCGGAATAAAAGTTAAATAAAGTAATTGAATTAATTTGCAATCAAAATAAAGGTTTCTTAATGTGGCCAAGCATTTGCTTGGCCACATTAAGAAATGTGTGTGTGTGTATATGTATATGTATAAGTTATAAAAAGATTTTTTGTTTCATATTTATAATTATCATTATTTTAGTTATTAATTATATCTGTGTTACTTTTGGTTTTAAAAAAATTAATAAATTCTTAACAATTTTTGTTATAAAATGTTAAACTTTTTTAATCAAAGAATATAGCTCTTTTCATATAAAACAGAATTTTAAAATAGGAAGTAGTATTTAAAATGGGTAGTAATATTTAATGCTTTAAGTCTTTTTTCATGAGAAAGAAATCTTATTGGTACTAGTTTATTGATACCAGTTTAGCTTTGAGCTGTTTTATTTCTATATACATACATACATACATACATACATACATACATACATACATACATACATACATACATACATACATACATACATACATACATACATACATACATACATATTGCCACAATTAGATTTTAGAAAGAGAGAATGGAACTGCAAACTTTAGTAGCAAAATAAAGGTTTCTTAATGTGGCCAAGCATTTGCTTTGCTTTGTTGGAAGCAAATCAATGACTTGATTTTTCTACTTTAGATTTGTACTGAAAAAGCACTCCAAAACCTCTTTCTGTATTAGACTCTGACTCTGTATTATAATATTGTTTAAATAATATAAAGTGTTAATTCCTACTACTAATACTTTTTTTTTTTAACTTGATTTTCTGGACACCTTAATTTGTATATATATATATATATATATATATATATATATATATATATATAATATATATATATATATATATATATATATATATATATATATTATATATATATATATATATATATAATGTTATAAAAAGATTTTTTGTTTCATATTTATAATTATCATTATTTTGGTTATTACTAATTATAAATGTGTTATTTTTGATTTAAAAAAAAAATTAACAATTTTTAACAATTTTTTTTTTTTTTATAAAATGTTAAATTTTTTTAATCAAAGAATATAGCTCTTTTCATATAAAATAGATTTTTCATTGAGTAAGTGATATTGTTAGTTTCTATTTTTACATAGATTTTTAAAATGGGAAGTTATGATGAAACAGAAATTTTTTGAATTTGTTTATATATTAGATTTATTAAGTAAAATTTGTAAAATAATTTTAACGAAATTAATTAAAATATTCAATATTAAAGTAAAATAATCAATAATAGTGGTTTAGGTCCTTATCATGATGATGGTTTAATAATATTGCATAAAAAATTTGGTTCACAGCTCAATAAAATCATAAAAAATATCAAAAATTTATTTTTTAAATTGGCTTTCAAATTGAAATAACCATAAATTTAGAAATTGTAAATTTTCTTGATGTCAACCTCTCTGAAAATTCATATACACCTTACAAAAAGCCGAATGATGAATTATTGTATATTAATATTAACTTAAAATATTTACATCAAATTCTAAAACAAATCCCATTTTTAATTATTAACAAGCTAAACCCTAACTTCTCTGACGAAAATGTATTTAATTCCTCTAAACTTATTTATGAAGATGCCTTTAATAAAGCAAAACAGAACTAAGAAAATATTATTGTTCAACGAAACATGTGGAAAGAGTTATAAACAGTCACAGCAATGATTTGTTTTAAAAAAATCTAAATAAAAAAAATTACTAAAAGTTGTGTATATATATATATATATATATATATATATATATATATATGTATATATATATATATATATATATATATATATATATATATATATATATATATATATATATATATATATATATATATATGTATATATGTATATATATATATATATATATATATATATATATATATATATATATTTATATATATATTTATAT